TGGAACACAGACTATTAAAATGTGAGCTCAAATAGAGGCGTAAGCATCAGCTTCAGGGTGGAGCAATCCAGACAAATTTTTCCGACTTGGCAATAGATTGCACGCTGCAAAGCAGCAGTGGTGTGCTGTATTTTGTGAACTCTGGGCTCTGTTTCTTTCCCCAAGAAGTCATCTTCCGCTCTCTCTAGAATGTCAGAAGAGGCTCCAAAGTGTCACTGAATTTGAGCAGTGAGCTGGAAAACTGAACTTGCTGTCTTCTTCATGGCCCAAATTGTTACCTGAATTGCCAAGGTAGCGACTCCTGAACTCAGTAATCAGATTTGCTTCTGTATTATTTACTGACAGTGTAAAGTACACTCATAAGCTCTGATCATCAAGTATATTTGTCCCTCCTAATACACTTCTCTCTCTTCTCCCAGTTTGGCTCACTAATTGAGCTTTAAGAGTAACAATGGATATCTACTGCACTATCTTACAATGGATAAGAATACTGCACTATCTTACTCTACTATGTATCTTATGTAGAGATAAGAAATATTCTAAGATAATGCTTTTGCACAGACTGCCAAACCCCATTATTTTCTGTATTCTAGATTCAGACTAGAATCTAGAATAAAGAAAACTGCCTTTTCAATAAAATTAATGTTACAATAAAAAAATATTTCCATGAAGAGATAATTATTGAATTATGGTGAGGCTCTCAACTATCTCTTATTTCTGCTCTTCTGGTTTGAAATAGTTGATTTAGTAACATTTCCAAGTCTGAATCTTTCCCAATGATATCGAAAAGGAGAGTTTTCTATACCATATATCTACATATGGTACCTGATGAATCAAGGTATCAGACAGGTACCACTCACCTTGGAGGATCTTACTCACTTTGTCAACTAATCTCTTTTATGTGATGCTTCCTAACAGTTTTCTTGCCCAAATAGTTTAACATGAAATGAGTTTTGCCAGGACTGATTCTTGAAAATCCTAGCAGGTGAAATATTTTTTCTTTTCCATGAAGTCATGTTTTCTCTGCAACTACCTGCCATCGTTCTAGTTATGCTGGTAACTAATAGTTGTCTGTGTTGTGATGAAAATGCAGAGCTCAATAATGAGGACTCATGAGGGAAAGCTGTATGAAATACAGCTCTTTTGACCATTCTTAAGATTTCTTAAGCTTTTAATGAAGGCACAACTACCCTTTCAAAATAAGCAGTTGTACGCAGTGTATAATTCATGTTTTCCCCTCTTGAAAATTTGATTTTATTCTAGCCATAGCTGTGCATTTCTTAAATAATTTAAAAGCAGGATGTTTAAGAATGGATGTGAAAGTCTCCTCAGAGTAACTGAGAAAAGGCTTTGCTAGTCTTAGTTTAGGCCTTCATATGCTAATATTTGCCTTTCTGATAAACTGCTAGAATACGCAGTTTTGTTATCATTAGCAGATTTTCTTCAGATCTTTCAGGACAAAGTTCTTTTTTTGATGCTATTCTTGATCTTTCAAGTAGCTTGACGTGTTCTATGTAAAAACAGCACAATCTTCTGAAGCTGCCAAATTAGTGATATTAATGAGCTCCCATTTTTAACTATTAATGGCTTCCTATATAAAACAATTACACTTATGGCAATCACAGATTGCTCATGTTTGAAACTACAGGTTATCAACCTATTATTATAGCTGCTTGTTGTATATTGTAGTCTCTGCTACTCTGGTTATGGGGAAGCCTGACTTGAATGTACCTTATCTGCCAAAATGTAATTATTGGATTCAGACCAGATACTTTTCTTTAAGGTGGATTACATAATAAGAATTCATGGGAACTGTGAAAAAAATATACCTCAATTCTGTTTATGTTGTGATATGTATAAGGAAGGAAAACCTCCTCCCCACTAATGGTTTGGCAGGATTGCAGAGAGAGGATTTCTTGGCCAAAGATCAGATTAAATAAGTAGTTTCCATTTCTACACGAACAGACAGATGTTATCTTGTAAGACTTGAAAGATACTGACAGGAGACAAAAGATGGAATGACTTATTTCTTTTGCCTGAGCCATGTGGAAAAACTTGCATTGCTACTCTGTTGCAAATAAATCCCAATCACAAAAAAACCTGAGTGGCTTAAAAGCAGAGAAGTGACTTGAAACAACCCATCAGTGACATCCAAAGCAAATACAGCAAGTAAAAGTAAGTAAATATAATTCACAGATATAGAGTAAACAGAAAATCAGCTGTTTTCAGTATTGTGGGACTGCACCAAAACTGGTTTTAAAAGATACTGTGTATAATTTAAAGTCGTGCCAATAAGGTTAAACAGCTTGGGTCTCTCCCTACCAGATGTGAGAATTCAAAATCATTTGACTGGAGCTGTTACTGCATTGCAAGTAAAATGATAGTCATACTCTATCATATGTAAATACTAAACTGAACAGATTTTAAATTCCCATTGGCTGGGAAATCAAGTAATTCTATAACTCCAGTGAAGTTACTCTGATTTTATACTTGCATAGTAAGGAGGCCCTTGGTCTCTTATCCTCTCTAAAGTATGCTATGCAGCATTTTAATATTTCTCAGGAATTAACAGAAGTATCAATCATACTTTAGCAAAGCCTAAAAATACTTTCTAGTCAAATGGATTATCACAAAAGTACTGAAAATGTGAAAGGACACACAATTCTGATATTTATAGTTAGATGCATGGCCATGTTAATAAATTAAGAGATTGTCTTAAAAGGCAACACAACAATTAAAATAAAATACAATTCATTATTCTATGCATTATAATAATAATAACAATGTTGTTTCACATAGGCACTATGTAAATAAGGATGTAGATTGAACATTTTTTGTAAGTGATTATAATGTACGTTTGAATAACTTAGATGTCAGTGACCAAAGCTGAACATCTAAATAGGGTCCCAACTGTCTCTGATAAAGCAGCCAAAATTTCCAGTAGTTTCTGTACGTCTTGGTTGTAATGAACCTGAGGTGGTATTGAAGGAAAATGACATTACTTAAAATAATTTAGCCTTAGATTCTGTTTCAAAGCTGAACTTTATGTTTTCTACAAACAGCACATTTAAGGAAAACATAAATGTAATATATTATCTCTCATTGTGGAAAACTTGAGATTTAATGTGCATTGCTTCTATGAGCATCAGTGAGTTGTCTTATTTCCTTACTTTCTACTGAAGTATAATATAGAGGTAGTTTGCACTATTCTGCCATGAAATAATACAGCTGTTCTCTTAGGTACATTATTTCATGTGTATATTATGGGTAAGAAGTGACCATCTTGTTTGCACAGCTTCTGTTAGAAAATGAATTTAAAGAACTTCACTTATGCAGATAAGGTAGTGGATATTTTTCTAATTATATAATTAGATGTGAATTAGTCTCTTTAAGATTGTCTCAACTGTTTAATTGATTTTTTAATATTTGCTTGTGTCCTTTTTTTGGTTGTGTGTGGGAATTATAAAACTCTAAAGATATATATCTGCTACATGCTAAGGTCTTCAACCACCCCACATCCTTAGCAAAAATCACAAAGGAAATAAAATGTTTAAATTTCTGCCTTATGTCTCTATTCTTCTTCAATAACACCTGAAGTTCTGTTAACATATTTTATCTCCAAAAGTCAAGCGGCTCTCTAGGTGTTCCTACAGCTTCATGTCTACAAAGTCATACCAAGAGAAAGACACTAACAGAGAAGCTGTGTTGGTTTTCAGTTGGATCCATGACTCCAACAAGGCTGGGCCTCAGATTTGCTGTAATATCTGACGTTTCGAATTTAATAGATGATGTCTTGCTTAGTTGCAATATTTTCAGTCCTTGTGCAGTGAATCACCTGTAGGACTTCTTATTGCAAGCAGCTGGGAAAAAGTAATTCCTTCATTCTTCTGCTTTGGAACACAGTCTTGGAAGGGGAGCTTTTTGTGACTGCTTTGGAAGCTCAGGGGCTGCCTGTATCTTGGTTCATTACATATTTCATCTATCTCCTTTTCTCCCTGCTGTGTTGGGTGCTCTGGCACAGCCTCGCTCAGCAGCCCACAGCACGTCCAGAATCCCTCACCTCATCCAGAGGCTCCAGGAGGCTGAGCCGGGGCCGTGCCGTGCGCCAGGACAGACTACTGCCAGCAGTGGGGACAATTCTGAAACGGCCTAGCTTCTTTTCCTGGCCTCTGGCATATATTTGTATCAAAGTGTTGCTTTTCAATCTATAAGTTTTGTTGTTTGCCTGTCAATACTCATGCTGGTTATTTAAGCTTTATTGAGGCAAACAGTTATGTGCTGCATCCCCTTGGTACAAATTTGCTAGAGATCGACACCTGTGAATGCTTCAACAGTATATAGTACCAATGCTTCAGTCTCGATAAAAGTAATGAATTAACTTTGTGGATTTATATACCTCATTTTTTTTTATTTCCAGTCACCACTGTCTTGCTTCTGTGTACATAATAATTAGTTTTCAGACTTTGCATTGTACATCCCCAGGCCATTTTCTGGATATTTATGCAGTTAGTTCAATGAACTTTGCTTAGGAGTGTGATTAACAGTCATTACCTTCCCGGATTGCCCACTTTACAAATTACCTAGAGATTTCATGTTCTGCAATTAACTTTTCTTATTACCTTTATAAAGCCAAAACATTTTTGTGGTGAACTCGCCTAGCTAACAAACAACAAAGGCTTTGTGGTTGTGCTCCAGAGATGATCCTCCGTCCCTGTCAGCAGCTGCCAGAACAAGCCATGCCCACGGAGCTGTGAGCGGTTTGCCGGGGTTTGTCACCAGCACGCTCCTCGCTCAGACAGCCTGAGTGAGTGGATCAGCAGCGAGGGAAGGAACACGCCGGCTCCCGATCTGTAGGGAGTTCTCCCTGCGCCCGGTGCCACCCGCCCCCCGCGGGTTTCCTGCAGCGGGAAGGAGCGGGGGCTTTCCCGGGACCCGGGACGCTGCCCCTCCCGCGCGGGGGCGGGCACGCTGCCTCCTCCGAAACGGGCGGGTGCCGGGCGGGCCCGGTCCGCGGGGGTCAGGCTGGAAACCAACGTTCCAGGGGAGAGAAGAAGGGGATAAACCGTGCCGGGGGCAGCCAGCGGGACTCGGCGCTGGCGGCGTGGCCGCGGCCGGGCCCGTACTCCGCCTCTCGGCAGTCACCGCCCGGGGCCGGACTGCAGCGGGCCGGCCGCCTCCCCCGCCCCGCCGGCGGAGCGAACCACTGCGGCTCGCCGAGGAGGTGAGGCACCTGTCACCGCGGGCGGCGGCGGCGCACGGCGCCTCATCCTCCCCCGCGCCGCCGCCGCGGGTGTGCGCGCGGAGCCGTGTCCGTGCCCCCGCTGCCGCCGCCGCCGCCGCTGCCTGCAATGGCGTTGAGGCGACGCGGCGGCTGCTGCCTCCTGTCAGGCGGGCGGCGGCAGCGGCCGCTCTGCGCAGAGGAGGTGCGGGGGCAGCGCTGAGTCGGGCGGCCGGGGGAGTCCGTCGCGGCTGTCGGCTGGGTAAGGCAGCGTGCGCGCTCGGCGGCACGGGCGCCGGGCTCCGCGGGGAACAGCGCTGGCACCGGGCTTTTGTTTCGCGGGGGCGGCGGGCGCCTGCCCGGGCACTGCCCCGCCGCAAGGTGCTGCCGCCCCCAGCCCCGCGGCTCCAGCCCGCCGGAGCGGCACGGCCGCCCGAGGAGGAGCCGCCGCCGTTTTCTAACGCTGCCCTCTCGGGTTGAGTTTATTGCCTTCTGCGAGGGCTGCACGGCTCGCTGAGGGTCTCTGCCGTGTGACCTTTCCAGTCGCCCGTGGCGATCGGCGGGAGGAGGAGCGGGAGGTGCGCGGGGACGGGCGCGTCCCTCTCGGCGCGGCGGCCGCGGGCTCCCGGCACCGGCACCGGCACTGGCACCGTGTGTGCAGCGGCCAGAGTGAGGCGTCCCCGCCTCGGCAGCGGCGGCGCGGAAGGGCTGGGGAGCAGGAACGGAGGGGAAGGGAGGGGGGGTTGGCTCGGAAGACCCCCCGGGTGCCCTTCGCTGGGCTGCGGGGGCCGGGAATGAGCCCCTGGGGCCGGGGCGGGCGAGCGGTCCACCCCTTGGCTCTGTTTCTGCGTCTCCTCCTTGGTACCTCCGGGGTATTCCAGACGATAAAACCTCTGCCCGTGACAAGGGGCAACTTTCTCTAACGGGATTTCACTTCGTTTATCCTATCAGCTGAAGATGTTAACTTCGGGTGCAGTTTTTTGTATTCCCTCGAGCTGATGTTTCATTTGCCTTTCTAAGCGTATTATCTTTGATCGCATTTCTACCATTATGTTTCTCTGAGAGAGCAAGGATTGTCTTGCAGTGCCTCATATTTCATGTCACATTGCCTTTCCTTTGCGTGCATATTTGTGCCATGATACGATACTTGTGAATGGAAAGCTATGATTATTTGCTCTTTCACTAGGATGTTATAGATTATAAATGATGCAACAGTCAATTTGAAAAAGTTTGTAATGGCAAGTTTTCACGTGTCTGTGCAGTGTTGGTTTGTTTTTGTTTTTGTTTTTTTTTTTTTTGCTAGTTTTTTGTAAACATGTCAGAAAATGGTAAATGGAAATTGTGACAGACTTAAAAGTACCTGACATGGTTTCAGAAAACCCTCCTTTCTATTGCAGGTTAAATCAGCCCTTGTTCTTGAGAGTCCTCAGTCGTGCTGCTGTGTCAAAATTGATCTTGTGCTTTAAGATATTTGCCTCCAGATGTGTCAGGTATGGTCCTGCTGAAGGGCAGTGGCCCCTGAGGAAAAACACTCCTCAAGCAGAATCTCTGCTTTGGCAAACTGCTGAAAGCGGTACTGCAGAAACTATGCAAGCAGGTTTCACGCTCCTGAAGTAAACATGATGAAAACAGAGTCTTCAGGAGAAAGATCCACCCTCCGAAGTGCCTCTCCTCACAGAAATGCTTACAGAACTGAGTTCCAGGCACTGAAAAGCACCTTTGACAAACCGAAAGATGGAGACCAAAAAGCGAAAGAGGAAGGAGAGGCCTCACAGAGCAGGGGAAGGAAATATGGCTCAAATGTCAATAGGATCAAGAACTTATTTATGCAGATGGGCATGGAGCCCACTGAAAGTGCTGGAGTTGCCCCTAAAACCCGGGGAAAGGGTGGCCCTCCATCACCTCAAAGACGAATTAGGCCCAAAGAATTTGTAGAAAAAGCAGATGGTTCAATTGTAAAGTTGGAATCGTCCGTGTCTGAAAGGATAAGTAGATTTGACACTATCCATGATGGTCCTTCCTATTCCAAGTTTACTGAAACTCGCAAGATGTTTGAGCGAAATGCTCATGAAACAGGACATTCAAATCGCTATTCCCCAAAGAAAGAGAAAATAATTTCCAGTGAGCTTCCAGATGAATGGTACAGCTCTAAGTCTCACAGAGGCAGCACTGATTCACTGGACAGTCTTAGCCCAAGGACAGAGACTGTCTCTCCAACTGTGAGTCAGCTCAGCGCAGTGTTTGAAAACACTGATTCACACAACGTAAACGTAGAAAAGTCGGAAAACAACGAAGAGTACTCTGTAACCGGTCACTATCCACTAAACCTCTCATCTACTGTCACAAATATCTCCTCCCCAGCTGCAAACCTTGAGGGTTTCAGTCCTTTGAAAGAGGCCAGCACGTGGTCTCCCCCAGCCAAACAGAGTACAGGCGTGATGTCTGTTGAGAACTCTCAGCAGACTAACACTCCTTCAACACCGAGACAGAAAGTGTCCACAGGCACTTTGGCAGGTTCAAAAACAACTGAAGAAATAAAAAAGAGCACAGAGGCAAGTGCTGGTTCTGTTGAGAGTTCTGCAACAGGTCAGCAGGATTTGGTTGGTGTGCTTGACAGCGAAAGATCTGTGGACAGCTGTGCTAGGAGTAAGTCAAAAGCAGAGACAGGAGTTTTGGTCCAACAGAAGGAACAGTCAGAACATACAGAAGGTATCTTTGATCGGCCTGAAGCTGCAGAGTTAACAAGAAATGTAGCTTCAGGTGGTGATTTTGCCACAGATGCTACTGAGTCACATTATGATGAGGACAGTGAAAAAGATGGGCATGAAGATGTGAATAATTTTCAGAGTTCCCATGTGTACATGCATTCTGACTACAATGTGTATCGGGTACGATCCAGGTACAATTCTGACTGGGGAGAGACGGGTACAGAACAGGATGATCTGGATGACAGTGATGAAAATAACTGTTATGAACCTGATATGGAATATTCTGAAATTAATGGATTGCCAGATGAAGATGAAATCCCAGCCAACAGAAAAATACAGTTTAGCCGGGCTCCAATTAAGGTAAAATTTCTTATGTTCCTTTTTCTTACAGTTTGGTTTGTTTTCAAATGCAGCTTTATTTGAAGGAGATTTTGACATTTGATCTTGCCTCCAAAAAGATTTCAGAGGATCTTTTGATACGTGTCTTTATTGCAGTCAGTGAACGTACTCTTAAATGAAGTAAGGCAGCTGAGCTCTGATCAGCTCGTCTCCATTTCCTGGATTTTCTGATGGCTGACTAAACAAGCAGAATTTGAGCATGACAGCTGGGCTTGTGAAGTTCAAGAATTTTGCCATGCATATTTTGACTTTTATGACTGTACCGTAACCACATGGTGAAATGTCACTGTGGGTATTTGGTGACTTTTGTGCTGCTTGTTTGATTTCATGTGAAATCACAGCTTCTTGAGATTGAAAAGCTTTTCCTCACCTCTCAGCAGATTCTTAAAGTACCTGTGTTTAAAGACAGTGTGAAGTACAATGTGATCCTGTAGTAGAGGAGTGTTAGTATTCCACATCTCAGTTAGTATCATCTTTTGTAGTAGTGCTTATTTAAAATTTTAAAGCATTTATATATATAGAGAGAGTATATATCTTAGTGCTACAGAAGGATGAAATCAAGTCACTGAAATACCTAGAGAAGGATGTGCTTTTTGCATAGCTGTTATGGTTTGTTTTTAAGTGCCTTGAAATTACCACTAAGGATGTTGTTTCCAGTACTTTTCAGTTTAAGAAGGAATAGCTAGTTAATGGCTTGTTAAGTTTTGTCCTACCAGCTTGTCACTGCTGCCTCAGGGTTAAATATAAAAGTATTTTACTTCCAAGTTGGTTTTAGTGCATGTGTGTGATGGTTTAACCCTGGAGATGACACATGTCTGTAATGGACAATTCTAAACCATAGCAATTATTGCAGAAATGGCTTCTTGAAACAGAAATATATCATGGAGTACTTGAAATGTAAGCATTTTAAAATTAAACATGTGTAATTGAAGTTGACTGTTTTCCTTGTGTGATTTTAGCAATGAAAATTACTAAGTCAATGAACAGAAGTGCCAGTGTTAAAGTAATGTGATTTACAAAATCTGCATTCACACTGCCTGTGGTTTAAAGTAGGGTGGGATGGGTATTGTAATATGAAGTTTTCATCTGAATAAAGCAACCAGATTTTCATATCTGTTTATTATGGGATGGAGCGAAAAGAACGGTCTTGCTTCATGCTTTGAAAAGAGGATTTTTACACTGAAAGAAAGAAAATATTCCAAGACAAGATAATGGATTTTTCTTATAATTTTAGTTTGTTAGTGTTCTATTCAGGCTTGCATCATGAACCAAAAAGTCTTAAGTATTTTTGTTCCCTCTTGATTGTTCCCATAATTAAAGTACCTGGTTTTCTTGAATTCCTGGGGGGAGGTGAAGTGGGGAAAACCTTGATTACAGAGGAAGTTGTTCCCTCCACTGCTTTCCAGCTCAAGCTAATAGGCAAGATGTACTAATAGACAAGATGATGTTCTCTCTTCTGAAAGGTCTGCCAGCTGTTTATGATGGTTCCAACAAATTAAAATCCAGAAAGTGACTCCACTGATTTTATTCTTGAGATGGTCAGACTTTTCTGCTGTTTCTGAAAGAGCTAATAGTGACATTTTCACTTCAGTGTATTGCTGTTTGAATCATGCTGTCATGCCAAGTGCTCTAAGAGTATTTTCTCAGTTATTGGTATTTTTTCTTTTCAAGTTTTTCATGCTATGTTCATTTCAGATTACATATTGTACAGTAATAATAATAATCCATCAGGAAAATGCTCTAAAAGTAATTTTTGTAAATAATTGTAAGAGCACATTTGTCATGGATTTAAGCACAAAGCACTCTTAAAAAGCTTATTCGAAGTAAAATAATCATTGCTTTAATTATTCTGGCATCTTTATTGTAGACAGGAAGAAAAAAGAATAAAAGCTGTGCTGGGAGAGAACACTGTAGGAGGGTTTGGGAGATCCCCTGCTTTTTGTCCTGGGTGCCTCCGGTGCCTGCAATCTGTTAGTCATGTGGGGAAGCAGAAGTGAGAGCATGTGGAAGGCTGGCCCTAGCAGGAGGAGCTGCAGCAAAAGTTGTGGAAAATGAAAAGCTGCCTCTGGAGCGGTGCTCCCTGCCTGTGCAGTTCCCGCGGCAGCGTGGAGCAGTGTGACGCTGTGTGAGCCCGGCCGGGCTCCAGGGCCCTCCGGTCACCGCCCGGCCGCGGAGGGGCAGCGGGAGAAGCCCCGGGAGGGTCCGTGTGGCTCCTGGGCTCCTGCACTCCTCCTCCAACAGCGCTGCCCATGGGACACGCTGCTGGGAGGCTGGAGCTGGCTTGGCAGGGGCTTTCGGTGCAGCTCAGCTATCAGGGAGCAGTGCAGGCGGCGAGAGGGACTTGAGTTCTGTCCCCTCTCACCGTGCCAGCAGATGAACTTAGCCAGTCACTCCCTGTGCCCCATCTGTTACACAGGGATGTTGCATCTGACTGAACAGGCAGCAACTGTTCAGGGATTTTTCTGTTCTGCACAATTTTTTGTGTTAGTGGGCATGACTGGTTTCATTAATACTTAGCTGAACATCATCTCAAGCATGGCATGATTGTGAGAGGAAAATGCAAAGCAATACAGGAGTATTTTCTGAACTGTTGGAAACTGATTTGTCTTTATGAAAGTGATGCAATTTGTATGTGACTATTTTGCTAGATAGTGGTGTGCAAAGTCCAACCCAAACTCTGGATGTTTAGCGTTGATTTCAGTATTGTATACCTTCACTCCTCCTACAGGAGAACTGAAATAATTAACAAAGTTGGCATTTGAATGTGTGAACTGTGGAATCAGTGGGTAGTTACTGCCATCAAGTTGTTACTTGAAGATCTCAACAGGTTTATCTTTGGACTATTTTTCTATGTGATTTCTTCAGGCAGACATGTAAGACTTTTTTGTCACTTTAAGGGTAGTGCTGAGGACTATGAGCAGCAGTGAAGTATAGGCAGAAGGATAAATAAATAAAATCTTACCAGGCTTATAGAGACTGAATTCTGCTTGTCTCCCAAGCAGAAAAAAAGACTAATTTATTGAGAAACCCACTGTCAAGAGGAAGACTCAAGTCAATGCATGCAGGAAATTCTACTGTGTTACAGTCTGTAATTTTGCTATCACAGATCCCATGCTCCATGGGCCATTTGCTCTGCTCTAGGATGATGGGATATATTTGCTGATTTAATCTCTGTTGAAAGTCCCTTTAGGAGTAGGTGACTACTGAGAGGCCACTGTAGGCTTGGAGAGTTTCTAGGTATTTGGAGTATGGTATTGCTGACGTGAGCCGTTTGTGTGTGTGTGTGAGCTTAAATCAGCTTGGTGCTGTTAATAAAAAGGAACACAAAAGGGCCCAAGAGTGGCAGTGGGCAGGAGTGTGTTGCTGAACAAGGGATGTGAACATTTCTGTAGCTGTTCATATGGCTGTTTATGTAGTGATATAGAGGCCTTTATCAGCACTGGCCTGCTCTTGTGTTGAGGTATTGTGTTTGTGCTCAGGGAGAGAACAGAAGCTCTCCAGGGCAAGTGTACAAGGTGAAAAAGTTAAGTAAATGGGATAAAGAAAAACATACTCTAGTTTTTCCAGGCATACTTAGCTACCAGAGAAACAAAACAACAACCCCTAGCCCACCTCC